TTTGTCCCCTCCAAAGGATTAGAATTTGTTTAATCATCCACAGCCAAATTTTCTGGTGGTCAGTGTTACTCAGCATAGGTCTAAGATGCCCCTATATAGAAATATAGCAGGTGACAAGGACACAAAGAAACTTGACATTTTCAGGAGGAAAGTGTACTCGTCTGCTACACTGCTCCTGCGCATAGCGAACTACTCCGCTTTGCTATCAAATCATAGTTTTGATAACTGTTCAAAGCTAACAGACTTACTCCAGCACCTCCCTGACTCCAAAAAGCCCATACTTACAGCAATTTTCCAAGAGGGCTACAATGCAGTGAGAGACGGACTGCAGATTGCAATGGACGTGGCTGATCCAGCAACTCGAGCTACAGCAACTGCAGTCGCCATGCGACGGTCGTCATGGCTTACCGCAGTGGCTGTTCCGAGGGAACTTCAGACCAAAGTAGAGGACCTTCCATTTGAGAAACGTAGACTCTTTGCTGAAAAGACGGACCAAGTCCTACATTCGGGTAAAGACTCCCGGACTATGCTACGTACTCTGGGCATGTATATCCCTCCTTACAGAAGGAAGAGATATTACCCTTACCAAAGATGGTATGATTTCCAGTACCATAGACAGCAATGACGTCCCTTTGACCAGCCAAGACAGAGACAACGGATGCAGTGTAAACACACCCAACCTTCTTGGATGACTACTCAACTGGGCCAGAAGCAGCAAACTTGACTCTTTGGTCGAGGTCTGCAAAACACCTGTCATTGTCATACCAACCATTCAGGACCATCCTCTATTCCATTACAGACTATAGCCCTTTTACTACCAATGGGCCGAAATAACAATAGATCAATGGGTCCTGGAGGTTGTAAGGTCTAGTCTCGCGATCCCATTCATTGCCATTCCTCCTCCCTCTCCACCAACCCTGTCCTGCTTCAGGGACCAATCTCACGAAGAACTCCTGACACAAGAAGTGCACCATTTACTGGAAATAGGAGCTGTAGAGATGGTACCATTACAGTTCAAAGGAACAGGGTTTTATTCCCACTACTTTTTGATGCAAAAGAGAATAGGAGGGTGGAGGCCCATTTTTGATCTTCAAAGACTGAATCGATACCTTTGAAAACAACACTTCAAAATGGTTACTCTCACGTCCATAATCCCAGCACTCCACAATGCAGACTGGTTCGCAGCCCTCGACTTACAGGATGCTTATTTCCACATTACTATTCATCCGGCTCACCGTCGATTCCTTTGCTTTGTAGTCGGCAACGCTCACTTCCAGTAACGGGTTCTACCGTTCAGCTTGGCTTCAGCCCCCAGAGTCTTTTCCAAGATGTTATCTGTAGTGACCACTCATTTACACCGCAAATACGTTATTATCTTCCCGTACCTAGATGATTGTCTGATAAAGGTGGGAGCTCGGCAGGAGGCATCTCGCATGGTCTCGATAGTCAGACACCCTTTCAACTCCCTGGCACTTGTTATCAATGAGCAGAAGTCCACAATGGAACCCACTCAAGTCATAAATTTCATAGGTGCCAGACTAGATTCCATCACTGCAAGGGCATACTTACCAGTCGGCCGGTTCCAAGCTATTCAAGACCTGATCACCGTCCTACAATAAGCCCCCTTTGTCCCGGTCCACACTTGTTTATGGCTCATGGGCCATATGACTGCGACCCCATTTGTGGTCATGCACTCCCCTCTTCACTTCCGATGCCTGCAGCATTGGATAGCGTCAGTCTATATTCCGGCAAAGCACGACATCCACAGATTGGTAACTCCTCCACCTCAGGTCCGTCTCTCCCTGCTGTGGTGGACCAAGCCACAGAACCTGATGGCAGGTATTCCGTTTTGCCGCCCTCAGCCTGCCTTTCAGATAACTACGGATGCATCCCTCCTAGGATGGGGGGCTCATACGAATGGCGTGACAACCCAGGGCACATGGATGGCTACAGAGAGAGCACAGAATATAAACTTGCTAGAGCTCAGAGCTGTGCGCCTGGCTTGCAAAGACTTCATATCAGGTGCAACTGTCAGAATACTTACAGACAACATAGCTACGATCCTTTATATAAACAGGCAAGGGGGAGTGAGATCACGATTCCTTTGTGCTGAGGCAATACAATTGTGGAGTTGGTGCATAGCAAATAATATCAACCTACTCACATCATACTTACCAGGTATTAACAATACCATAGCGGATGATCTCAGCAGAAGATCCCCCTACGGCCACGAGTGGGAACTATGGTCAGATGTTCTTCACCAAATCTTCCATCAGTGGGAGACTCCCCAAGAAGATTTGTTCACCGCAAAAGACAATGCCAAGTGTTGTCTCTTTTGCTTCAGAGCAGGGATGGGGATGAAGTCAATGGGCGATGCATTCTTAATCAGTTGGAAGGGCCAGTTGATGTACGTGCTTCCTCCAATGCCACTCATACCTCGAGTGTTGGAGAAGATCAAGGCAGACTGCATGCAAGTGATCCTCGTTGCACCAGCATGGGCGAGGCAGCCTTGGTTTCCCTTCCTCCATCTAATGTCGGTGAAGCCCCCACTTCCTCTTCCCCTCTCCCAGACCTTTACCAGAACGGCATTCGCTTACTTCATCCAAAACCAGACACATTACACCTGACGGGTTGGTTTTTGACTGGTTCACTGAATTCAAACACCTTTGTTTGCAACAAGTCAGATGCATATTGATGCATAGCAGGGGACAATCCACGCACATGACCTACCTGGCGAAGTGGCATCGCTTTTTTCTATGGTGTTCCCAGCGTGACATCGATTCCAAAAAGTCACGACTACGTCACATACTAGACTATCTATTACATCTACAACAGTCTGGTCTTTTGCTGTCCTCCCTGAAAGTACATTTATCTGCCATTAGTGCCTTCCACCACTCTGTGGACGGTACTCTGGTATTCACTAACTCTATCATGAAAAGATTCTTCAAGAGTCTAACAAATCTTAACCCTCCTCGAAGACCACCTCCCCCTTTTTGAATCCTCAACCTGGTATTGGACACTCTCATGCACCATCCATTTGAACCTCTCGCCATTTGAACCTTCTCGACAATGAAGGTCCTCTTTCTCCTAGAAATCACGTCAGCAATGAGAGGCACTTATGGCGCTTATGGACAACCCACCATTTACCTCCTCAACAAATCCTTTCTTATAGCCTTATAGACACTTTTACCCAAAAGAACTCTTATGTGGTCACACAACATCTCTGCGCCTCTTGCACTGTTGCCTTGTTTCACTGATCTTAGCTTTAAACACAAGAAGTTTTTAATAAAAAAACCCAAACAAACCTGCATTGTGTATTAAAATCACCTTATGGCGCTTATGGACAACCCACCATTTACAACTTTTACCCAAAACTCAGTTGTATTAAGACTATACCCTGCTTTTCTTCCTAAAATGTGTTCAAAATCCCAAATTAATGAGACTATTGTTTTGTCCTCCTTCTACCCGAAGCCCTGCTCGTCCTCTCGGGAAGCCCTGCTACATACTCTTGATGTACGTCAAGCTTTATCCTTCTATATCCACAGGACCTGGGAATGGTGTAAGATGGACCGCTTGATAGTATCATATTCAAGATGTTCCAAGGGCTGTTCCCTAACGAGCCAGCGTATTTCAAACCTTATAGTACAATGCATTAATACGTGCCACAATATCCAGAAAAGACCTTTTCAGTCTTGTCCTACGGCCCATTCTACAAGAGCCACTGCCACCTTAGTGGCGTTTGTCAAAGGGGTCCTGTTGATGGACATTTGTAGGGCTGCAATGTGGTCATCTGGCACTACATTTATACAGCATTATGCAATTGCACGACAGCTGGCAGGGGACTCAGCAATGGATTTAGCAGTTTTGGCCTATAACAGTAAATCTAGCTCCGTAGCGCGGACAGATACTGCTGTGTAGTCACCAGCAGTGGAGCACCCACGGGGACCACTCGAAGAAGAAGAAGAAGTTACTCACCTTCGTGCAGTAATGATGTTTCTTCGAAATGTGTCCCCGTGGTTGCTCCACATCCCGCCCATCTCCCCATTCTGGAGCCTTTTCTATTCTTGTTTCAGATTGATGATCTGTGAGAGGAACTGGCAGGAGCCAGACCATGCAAGACAAAAAGGGCATGAACGGCGTGTGGCACTGGCAACACATGCGCGGCCGGCTGACTACGGCTAGGGAAAATCTCTGACCTGCAGCACCAAGACGAGTCCAACACCAACAGTGGAGCATCCACGGGGACAACTCGAAGAAACATCATTACTGAACGAAGGTGAGTAACTTCTTTCTCAGCGAGAATAAGTGCATTAAAGGGAAATGAAATAATTTTGCAGTTGTATTTTTATCTGGCTGGCATCCCCATAAGAACAGGGAGGTTGTCAGCTATTTTACTATACATTTACTATACTCTGTAACTGAAAAAAAGTGAGGAAAAAAATACTGTTGAAAGTGTTAGTTTTGTGTAGCAAGTAATTGTGTACTCTCTGGGGGTATGTCTAGACTACACCTCTGAGTTGACAGAGAGATGTAGATTAGGCATGTCACAATTGCTAATGAAGCAGGGATTTAAATATTCTGTACTTCATTAGCATAAACATGGCTGCCGCTTTTTTCGAAACAGAGCTTTTTCGAAAAAAACCCCGCAGTCTAGACACATCTGTCAAAAATAAACCCTTTTTCAAAAGATCCTGTAAACCTCATTTTTTGAGGAATGCAGGATCTTTGGAAAAAGGGTTTATTTTTGACAGATCTGTGTATGCTTTGACAGATCCATGTTTATGCTAATGAAGAGCAGGGTATTTAAAACTCAGCTTTATTAGCAATTTTGACGTGCCTAATGTACATCTCTGTTGACAGAGGTGTAGTCTAGAGACACAGCCTGGTATATGTAAATAGGACCGCTTTATGTTGAGAACTGAATTGAAAGGATGTATGTACGTGTAAAATTAGAAATATATATAGTTTTATGTGACTTATAAAAATATATTTTGAAACAGCAGGGCTTTAACCTTAAAGCAGGAAACAGAATTGGTGTTATCAGAGGTCACTGAGCTGATTAAGCGACTAGAAGCTGAATGTAAAGAAGCTGAAGAAGCTTTGAAGCTCGAAAAACAGCGAAAGAAAAAGCTTGCAATGAAAATCGATTGTATGTCAATTTGGAGGCTTCGACACTTCCCCATAGCTGTACAAAAAGGTACTGTGATTAAAACTAACAGTTTTCATTAAGTAGCTTCAAAGGGATAACCGAGTTAGTCTATAACTGGAAAAACAAAAGCTCATGATATCATCTACATGTTTTGTTAGTCTTTAAGGTACTGCTAGACTATTTGTTGTTTTTTAAAATTTTCCAGTTTTTGTTAAGTTGTAGTCTGTATTATCAAGGAGAAAATAATCAAGAACAGTTAAACTGGAAACATGTTAGCTCTGCTAGCACTGCAGTAACCTGTTGATTTACTTTTTTCTTAAACAATTATGTATACAAAAATTGAACATATAAAGGAAAAATTAAGCATTTATTTATGAGTGGTACATATAAAGTGCAAGCTGGTCGCCATTTTGGAAGAGAAAATTAGAAGACTGGAAGCCCAAGTGTCAACCCTACACTCCATCAGAGAGGATGAAGACTTCCTCGATAGAAGGCAGCATTTAATCCTACAAGCACGGCAGGCAGAAGAGCCACAGAGGGCAGTACAGGACCAGGATGAGAACTGGCAGCATATAACTTCTACAAGGGGAAAAAGGCCAGCATGGGAATCCCCCAATGCTATAGAGGTAAGTAATCGCTTTCAGGCTCTGTCCACAGGCTCTGCGAATGCTTTGGAAGGGACCCCACAAGGAAAAAACCGCAAGGGAACACCATCTACTGAAAGGCATGGGATGCGTAGTCCTAGGAATGGGGGTTCCACGACCACCACCCCCAAAACAAGATGACGGGTGGTGGTGGTCGGAGACTCCCTCCTAAGAGGGACTGAGCCATCCATCTGCCGTCCGGACCTGGAATCTCGAGAGGTGTGCTGCTTACCGGGGGCTCGAATTCAGGATGTGACTGAGAGGCTTACCAAACTGATCAAACCTTCAGATCACTACCCCTTCCTGCTTCTCCACGTGGGAACTAACGATACAGCCAAGAATGACCTTGAGCGGGTTACTGCAGCTTATGTAACGCTGGGAAGAAGGACCCAAGAATTCGGAGCGCAAGTGGTATTCTCGTCCATCCTCCCTGTTGAAGGCAAAGGACTGGGCAGAGATCGTCGAATTGAGGAAGTAAATGCGAGGTTGCGCAGGTGGTATCGCAGAGAGGGCTTTGGTTTCTTCGACCATGGAACTCTGTTCCGGGCACAAGGATTGTTAGGAAGAGATGGGATCCACCTAACCAAGAGAGGAAGGAGCATCTTCGCGGGCAGGCTTGCAAACCTAGTGAGACCCCGCTAGTTCGAACTACCTAGTCACGAGGAGTAACCGTAGTTCGGAGTAGGAACCTAGTCCGAACTACCTAGTTCGAGCCCCGTGTAGCCGCGCTGCACGGGGTTCGAAGCAGCGGGGATTTAAAAATGGCAGCTCCCCGCTTAAGCTAATGAAGCCCGGGAAATTCAAATCCCGGGCTTCATTAGCAAGTGCGGTATGCATACACTACCCTCCTAGTTCGAACTAGGAGGGTAGTGTAGACATACCCCAAGAGAGGAAGGAGCATCTTCGCGGGCAGGCTTGCAAACCTAGAGAGAAGGGCTTTAAACTAGGTTCGTTGCGGGATGGTGAACAAAACCTTGAGGGGAATGGGAAAGTCAGATACCAGGAAGGAATGCAGAGAGGAACGAGCAAGAAAGGAGGACCCATGTTTCGAATGGAGAAGATAGAGAGATCCACTGGTTATCTGAGGTGTTTGTACACTAATGCGAGAACACTGGGCAACAATCAGGAAGAACTGGAGGCCCTGGCCCAGTCCAAGAAATATGATTTAATTGGGGTAACAGAGACTTGGTAGGATGACTCGCATGACTAGAGCGCTGCCATGGAAGGGTATAGACTGTTCAGGAAGAACAGGCAGGGGAGAAAAGGAGGAGGACTTGCACTATACATAAGAGAGCACTACGATTGCTCTGAACTCTAGTATATAGAGGGACAAAAACCTGTTGAGAGTCTATGGGTTAAGTTTAGAGGTGCAAACAACAGCAGTGATGTTGTGGTTGGTGTCTACTACAGGCCACCAAATCAGATGGATGAGGTAGATGAGGCTTGCTTTGGAAAACTGAGAGAAGCTTCCAGATCGCAGGCCCTAGTTCTCATGGGGGACTTCAATCACCCTGACATCTGTTGGGAAACCAATATGGCAGTACACAGGCAATCCAGGAAGTTTTTGAAGAATGTTGGGGATAACTTCTTGGTACAAGTGCTGAAGGATCCGACCAGGGACCGTGCGTAGCTTGACCTTCTGCTCACAAACAGGGAGGAACTAATAGGGGAAGTAGAGGTGGGTGACAACCTGGGAAGCAGTGATCATGAGATGGTAGATTTCAGATTCCTGACCAAAGGAAGAAAAGAGAGTAGTAAAATACACACCTTGGACTTCAGAAAAGCAGATTTTGACTCCCTCAGAGTCCTGATGGGCAGAATCCCCTGGGATGCTAACATGAAGGGCAAAGGAGTCCAGGAGAGCTGGCAGTATTTTAAAGAAGCCTTATTGGAGGCACAGAAAGAAACCATTCTGATGCGTAGCAAGAAAGGCAAACTTGGTAGGAGACTGGATTGGCTTACAGAGGAAATCCTTGGTGAACTTAAGCACAAAAAGGAAGCTTACAAAAAGTGGAAACTTGGACAAATGACCAGGGAGGGGTTTAAATGTATAGCTCGAGAATTCTGGGGGATTATCAGGAAGGCGAAAGTGCAAATGGAATTGCGACTGGCTAAGGATGTGAAGAATAACAAGAAAGGTTTCTACAGGCATGTGAACAAGAAGAAGGTGATCAGAGAGGGTATGCGGCCCCTATTGGATGAAGGAGGTAACCTAGTGACAGATGATGTGGGGAAAGCTGAAGTACTCAATGCTTTCTTTGCCTCTGTATTCACGGACAAGGTGGGCTCGCGGACTAATGCGCTAAGTGACGCAAGATGGGATGAAGATAGACAGCCCTTGGTGGGTAAAAAACAGGTTAGGAACTACTTAGAAAAGCTAAATGTACACAAATCCATGGGTCCGGACTTAATGCATCCGAGGGTACTGAGGGAGCTGGCAAATGTCATTGAGGAGCCTTTGCCCATTATCTCTGAAAAGTTGTGGAGATCGGGAGAGATCCCGGATGATTGGAAAAAGGCAAATGTAGTCCCCATCTTCAAAAAAGGGAAGAAGGAAGATCCAGGGAACTATAGGCCAGTCATTCTTACCTTGGTTCCTGGAAAAATCATGGAAGGGATTCTTAAGGAATCCATTTTGAGGCACTTGGAGGAGAGGAAAGTGATTAAGAATAGTCCGCATGGATTCACAAAGGACAAGTTGTGCCTGACTAATCTGATTAGCTTCTATAATGAGGTAGCTGGCTCTGTGGACATGGGAAAGTCCAGCCAGCCCAGAACCCCCATCCCACATGCAGGAACCCGGTGTACCAGCAACTTCCCATACCCGCCTTTCCTCAGCACATGGGGGTGGTGAGGCTGCTCCCCTGAGGACATCTGGGCCTATGTTGGAAAAGTCCTACTGTCCAGGCCTCAGATGGCTTTCCTCCCACTACATCACCTTCATTTGACCTGAGAACTGTCAGTCTCAGCTCACAGATGAGGATAAGGCTTCAGGGACAGTGTCTCCAGGGATGACTAACCATCTCTCTTTTCTCCACAGCTGGACAAGCTGTGAGAGGGGAGTGGGTGACACCACCTGGGGCAGCCACCTGACATCGGGGACCCACAGGCATTAGAAAATGTAGGAGGAACTCCTGTGAGAGCACATATCTGTGCTCCAGGTCCTGCATGAGATGCTGGAACAGAGGCTCTGGAAAGACATGCAATTGCAGAGAGAGACCTGGAGAGAGTTGCTGAAGCAGGGCCTACCATGTGTGTGGCAGTCCAGTCTCTCCTCCCCAGCACAGAGCCAGCTCCTGCTCCTGCTGTTGCTCTAGCCCCAGTTCCTGGTCCTCCCCCACCTCCTATGCCAGACCTGCCCCAGCTTGTGTGCCAGCCCCTACCCCAGCTCCAATGCCTGACCCTGTTCCATCCCCACCTCCTGCTTTTCCCCCCTAGCCTCCCCCACTTTGTGATCGTTGAGGTGCCTGTACACGAGGCAGTGGTACCAATCGAGCCAGATACCAATCCTACTCCCAGCCCTGAGCCTCTTCTTCCCTCTCCCCCCTTCTTCCCTCTCGAAGGTTTTCATCTCCCTCCTCCTTTCCCTAGTCCCTCCCCAGTTATTTTGACCCCAAATAAAAACCACACACTGTTTGTTTCCAAAAAAACAATGTTTTATTGTCTCCGCAGGAGAGGGTGGAGGGGAGAAGGGAGAGAGAGGAAAGGCAAAGAGAGAAAATGCACAGGCCACTTGTGGGGAGGCCTAGGGGAGAGTATCATTGGGGTCCTTGTGAGAAACTCTCCCTCAGGGCCTACTGGATGCACATACACCCTTGATGGGCTCTCCAGATGGCAGCTGTGTGCAGCTGTTCAAATGCCCTGCTGACCCAGCCAGCCTCTGCCCCCCACTCAAGGAGAAATGTTTCCCCCCATCATCTCTCACATATTGTGGAGCACACACCATGTCTTGATGGGCTCTCCAGATGGCAGCTGTGTGCAGCTGTTCAAATGCCCTGCTGACCCAGCCAGCCTCTGCCCCCCACTCAAGGAGAAATGTTTCCCCCCATCATCTCTCACATATTGTGGAGCACACACCATGTCGCCACCACTTGTGGGATGTTCTGCTCCCCAAAGTCCATCTGGGTGACGAGGTATCTGAACCTTGCTTTGAGATGCCCGAAGGTGCCCTCCACCACTGTGCAGGCCATGCCAAGACTTGCATTGAACTGTTCCTTTGAGTGGTGAAGGTGGCCTGTGTAGGGCTTCATGAACCAGGGCAACAGAATGTAGGCTGCGTCCCCCATGACACAAAGTTGCATGTCCATATCCCCGACCCTGATGGTGCAGTTGAGAAGAAAGTAGCTGGAAGCCAGCACTGGAAGACGCTGGAGTTTTGGATCATGCAGGCATCATGCACCTTCC